TTGCAGGGGCATAAACCTGCTTAGATGGGTTCAAGACAGACCTGGAGGAGAGTAATTAGGAACAGCAAAAATAACTCTTTGGAGGAGTTCTGGTTTAAAGGCAAAAAAAAAAAAAAAAAAAAAAAAAAAAAAGGAATGGGTGGTTGGTGGAAAGTGGGACAAGAGGGATTTATTAATAGGGAGAAGGGACTGGGTGGCTCAGTTAAGTATCTGACTTCAGCTCAGGTCATCTCATGGTTCATGAGTTCGAGCCCCACATAGGGCTCACTGCTGTCAGCACAGAGCCTGCTTCAGATCCTCTGTCCCCCTCTTTCTCTGCCCCTCCCCCACTGATGTGTGTGTGCTCTTTCTCTCAAAAATAAATAAACATTCTTAAAAATTTTTAATGCTTAGTTTTGAGAGAGAGAGACACAGAGTGTGAGCAGGGGAAGCGCAGGCAGAGAGGGAGACACAGAATCTGAAGCAGGCTCCAGGCTCTGAGCTGATAGCAGAGCCCAACAAGGGGCTCAAACTCACGATTGTGAGATCATGATCTGAGCCAAAGTCGGACGCTTAACGACAGAGCCACCCAAGCGCACCAATAAATAAACATCTGTTAAAAATAGGGAGAAATAATACTTTCAAATTAGTAACTATCAACCTGACATCTGAGATCATTTTAGATCCTTGCTTAGTACTGTTTCTTTTTTTCTTTTTTTTAATGTATGGAATTGTTGTTTTTTTTTTTTTCAATATATGAAATTTACTGTCAAATTGGTTTCCATTAGTACTGTTTCTATGTGAACATTCCACTGGGCTTACCAGTTTCAAAGTATTACATAATATAGTTACTAAAATAATTAGCATAATATGGCTGGGAAAGCCCACAAGAATGTTTGCCAAAAAGTTAAGAGGAGCTCTCTCTGGGGCTTGGGGGATTAATATTAAAAATTTTTTTTTATATGTTTATTCATTTTTGAGAGAGACAGAGACAGAGATCAAGCAGGGGAGGGGCAGAGAGAGAGAGACACACAGAATCTGAAGCAGGCTCTGGGCTCTGAGCTGTCAGCACAGAGCTTGATGCGGGGCTCCATCTCATGAACCATATCATGACCTGAGCCAAAGTCAGATGCTTAACCAACTGAGCCACCCAGGTGCCCCTTGGGGGATTAATATTTATTGTGCTTGTTTCGATTTTCTAACACTTCTCTAGCACCTGTACGTTACTTGTACTGGATGCTTCTTTACAATAAAGGAGAGATATTTTCATCACAGCTCATGAGACCCCCTTACTTATGCTGTTACACAGATGCTGACACTGTCTTTGGATATGCACAAGCTCTTCCCTCTCCCTGTGGGCCTAGTGTGTGCCAGGCCAAGACCCAAACACTTTTTCCATTGGTCATTCAGAACCATGGCCCTGAGGGCAGGCCCCCAACACAGTGCACCACACAAGTGTTCAGGGAATGGACAAATGGACAAATGGTGTCCTGTGACCCAAGTGTTGGACCATTGCTCCAACTACCTGGACACACTTTTGAATCTGAGCTCCTTCCCAGGCCCCCCAAGGCAGGGGTTTTAGGGGTAGGCTTCTCAGGGATGCCCTTCCTGGACGAGGAGAGCTTGTCAGACCCATCAGGGCATGAAAAGGCCATGCGACTCAGTGTTCCTTGGACTCCCAGGGTCTTTTCAACTTCTGTTCGCACTAACACCTTAATCATTATTTTATTAACATTCTTTAACTTTTTCAAAATTGTGGTAAAGACACACGTAACAAAACATCCACCATCTTAACCATTCCTAAGGGTACAGTTCAGTAGTGTTAAGTATATTCACATGGTTGAGGAACCAATCTCCAGAACTTTTTCATCTGGCAAAACCAAACCTCTGGACCCATTAAACAACAGCTTCCCATACCTCCTCCACTCAGCCCCTGACAACCACCATTGCACTTTCTATGAACTTGACTACTCTAGGGACCTTACATAAGTGGAATCATACAGCATTTGTTATTTTGAGACGAGGCTCATTTCCATTAGCATAATGCCTTCCAGGTTCATCCATGTCACACCATGTGAGGCTTTACCATATTGTCTTGTAGGGATAAACCAGTTTTGTTCACCCATTCATTTGTGGATGGACACTTGGGTTGCTTCCACCTCTTGGCTCTTGTGACTAATACTGCTATAAACATAGTCTGTATCTCTTTCAGATGTTGCTTTCGATTCTTTTAGATATATACCCAGCGATCATATGGTAGTTTTATTTCTAATTTTTAAAAGAAAAGTTAAAGAATTTTCCAACTGTTTTTCAGTGGCTGCACCATTTTACATTCTCACCAACAATGCAAAGGGTCCAATTTCTCCACATCCACGCTAGCGTGTTATTTTTAATTAAAAAAAAAAAAATTTTTTTTTTTTTTTTGTAATAGCCAGCCTAATGGGATTGTGGTTATCTTTAAAAGATTCTGATTGTGATACACACACAGAGGGCGTGCAAGAACCTAATATTGGAACGGACAGTTGTAAAGAGAACATCCAGGGAATTCTTGACACAGGTCATGAAATAAATACTAATGGTGTCCCAGAAACACCCCGGGCCCTTGTCCTGGTAACCTTTTCTATTATCATCTCTCTCCCTCACCTTCCTACACTCCCCAGCTAAACACTCTCTGGCCTTTACAGTATTTTCCTTGCTTAACTTTACAGTCACATCTGAAACAATAGTTTCTATTTTGCCAGTGTTTGCACTCGGTATAAACGTAATCATTTTGTTAGTCTTTTTGCTTAACTTTGGGTAGGTAAGATTCATCAACGTTCATACAGCTCTCGTTTCTGGGTTCTCTGTATAGAATTTCACAGCAGCAAAATTCACCTTCGGTCTCTTCCAATACAAATCCACAGACAGAGACGCTGTGCCTGTCTCCTGGGGCTTTGGGGCAGGGGTCTCCATCGCGCCCCTCGGCAGCGTTCCCCGGACGCGTGGGCAGCTCTGCAACCTCCGGCCCCAGGCTAGGCCCAGAGGCACGGGTCCTGCTCCTGGGGCTAAGGGACAGCCTGCCTGGGAGCCCCGTGGGGTCACACACGCACTTCCGGTTTCACGGTCACGCACGCGGAGCCCCCTGCGCACCTCCAGGGTCGGGGTCAGGTAGGCTCAGCAAGCGTCCCACATTCCAGCCTGCGCTCACGCTCCATCACCCGCGCTCTCCACACTCCTCCCGGGGCTCCGAGTGAGGGGACCAAGGCCAATTTCGGGCTCAGAGGTTTGGAACTAGCGGGTACAGAGAGCTGTCTCGCAGATTGGGCAGACCCGCCTCCCACAGAAATCCAACGACCACCACAAAGGAACAGGCCAAACACCGTCGCGGGAAAGTGCGCCTGCGCGGACCGGACACGAACTACAAGTCCCGGGAGCTTTTGTGCTGCGCAGACAGACGACTCCACTTCCCAGAAGGCATCTGGGTCCCGGAGCCGCTCTGACCTCCAGATCCAGACGATCTTGTAGCACAGCTTTCTGGGAAGTGTAGTTCCGGTATCATGCTGGGCCGGTGTGTTGTGTGTCTAACTGCAGGGGTAGCCAGAGGGTGGTACCCAGGAACGTGGAATTATCCTGTCAGTTCCAGGTGGATTTGGGTAGGTCCTGGCCCATGTTCATCTTTGCGGGAAAGGCTCATTCACCTCGCCCTCAGGATACTAGTGGTGGTGGGTGGGCACTGAAGAGTTTTACTAGGCTTCCTGCCCCTGCTGTCCCTAACCTGGGGTCCCAGGAAGGGACGGGGGAAGAAGTAGGGAAATCCTCAGCCCTGTTCTCAGACCCAGTGATCCTGATGCTGGTCCACCCTCAGGAGCAGGGGAAGGAGTCTGGGTGGTGGCCCACCCTTGACACAGTGCTCTGACAATTTCACCCTCCTTGACTTGAACCCCAGCTGCAGCTTTGGCTACAAGTTCTACCCAGCCAGCATCAGCACAGCACAGCTGTGCCCAGGCCTCCCTGCTGTGGTTGTTGGCCTCCAGAATGACCTCTATAAATCTTGTCTCCTGGTAGTCACATCTTTGTGTAGTACCTCCCACACTGAGTAGGACGGACATATGTAACAAAAATAATATTGTGGATATACTGGTATATGGATTATGAAGCTAGGTCATGAAAGACATTGATTGAAACTTCAACCTTGCTGTCTTGGATCACTCACTCTGGGGGAAGCCAACATCACATCTTAAGTATACTTGAGCAATTTGTGGAGAGTTCCACATGGCAAGAAACTTTGGCCTCCTGCCTACAGCCTATACTAATTTGCCACCCACAAAAGGAATGCTCTTGGAAGTGGACCCTCCAGCCCTTGGTGACATCTTGACTGCAAACTTATAAAAGACCTTGAACCAGAACAACACAGGAATAGCTAGATATGGGGTACAATAACACAGGTTTATTGTTTTAAGTCACTAATTCAGGGGTAATGTGTTGTACAGCAATAGATAACACATACTGATAAGAGTGGTACAATAAAACCTTGGATTGCGAGTAACTGTTCTGCGAGTACTCCCCCAAACTTGCAAACATTTCTAGTAAATTTTAACTTGATAAACAATTGATATCTTGCAATATGAGTAGTACATGACACTGAACGTCACATGATCACAACTGAGCCAATGGTTCTTCTCTCTGTCTCTGTGTGAGATTGTGAGCGGTCATCAATGCAATGTCACATTTCCACGAAATCCTCAAAAGGAGGCAAAAGCAAGTGTCATTGGATAGGTTCCTTGTTAAAGTTGTGCAAAAAGAAAAAGATTTCATTGAGCCAATGGATAGCAGTTATAAAAAGGAAAGAAAGAGAGTCGTCCTACACAATAACCCTCCTCTATCTTGTCTCCCTCACACCAGCCATGAAGGTTTTCAAAGGTAAGTGCAGGTTAATTTATTTTTTTATATCTTGTGTTTTCTTTATTTTGTATTATATTACAGTATTTTGAATTATGTGAATATTTTTGGGTTGTGGAACGAATCATCTGAGTTTTCATTATTTCTTATGGGGAAATTCGCTTTGATATACAAGTACTTTGGATTATAAGCATGTTTCTGGAAGAAATTAATGCTCTCAAACCAAGGTTTTACTGTATGTATAATTAATGCAGATAATTATATCCACTATTTAGAAATAGGATGCTGTGGAAACAAAAACTGGAATGTGGGAGAAGTTTTGGAACCAGCAAAGGTCAGAAGCCAGAAGGACATTGATATGAGTGGTAATGAAATCATGATTGCCTTTGAAGAATCTGTTAGATGAAGTCTGATGGTCTTTAAGGATACTTCTGACGATGGGACGCCTGGCTGGCTCAGTCAGAAGAGCATGTGACTCTTGATCTTGGGGTTGTGAGTTCAAGCCCCACATTAGGAGTAGAGATTACTTAAATAAGTAAATACTTTTTTTTTTTTTTTAAGGATACTTCAGATGAGAGCTTAAAGGAAATGGAGGAAAATGTCTTTTAAAAGTCAGAGACAGGAATCCATTCTGCATAGTGGCAGAAAGTTTAGCTACACAGTCACCTGCAGTAACTCAGAAAGTAGAAAATGTACCTAATAAACTGGGTGATCTAGCTAAAGAAGTTTCCAGACAGTGTTTAAGGTGCTTCTCTTGCTTTACTGACCAAGGACAAGTGAAGTTCAGTGAGAATGTCAGAAGCATGTCTTTTGTTTTTCTCCCTCAAGTCCCTCAAGCATCAGGGCCAGGACATGATGGTGAGGGGCAGGCAGGTCTCCAGGCAGTTCCCGGTTTCGTCTTCTTTTCCACAAGTCCTATTGACCTGAACACTTTGGGGTAAGCCCCATGTGAGAAAGATCCTCCCTGGGCTCAGGGATCAGCCTCTACTCCCCTTCTCCCTGGGAGCAACTCAAAAATGAACAAAGAAAGAAAGAAAGAGAGAAAGGGAGGAAAGGAGGGAGGAATGAAACAAGAGAGAAAGAGAGAGAGGGAGAGTGAGGGAGGGAAGAAGGAAGGAAGGAAGAGAAAGATTGGAGAATAAGGTCTAGTTACCTCAGACATCACAAAAAAGCGGTTAACAGCCAACAATGCCTATTTTTATTTCTCCCTGATCAAAAATATGTCCGCCCATCTGGATGACTGACATATGTCAGAGTGTCTGCCCTGCCCACACCTGGAGAGGACCCCCTTTCTTGGCTTTGGCTTTGGGGGCCAGAGTGGACCCCTGGTCAAAGACAGCCAGGCCTGGTTCCCAAGCCAACCCCCCTGCCCCAGCCATGGACTGGGAATTCTCATGGGAGCAGCCAGTGTGCCCAGTTGGACTGAGTGTCCTAGAGGACAGTGGGGCCAGGAGCCATTACAGGCTCCCACAAGGCACATGGGGGAGGAGAACCCATGCAGTCCCAGAGAGAGCAGGTCGGCACAGCCCTAATTCCTGCAGGCCCCATTCTCAGCTCCAGCCGCCCGCGTACCTTGGCTCTACTTCCCGCCACTGAATTCTATGATCCTCTCTTGAACCCCCACAGTGAACTGTGCCTGTCTTGAACTAGGCTGAGACTTAAAGAGCTCTGTGGGAGATCATCAAGACAGCTACCAACGATTCCTCCTATCTCCATATATACAGGCTACATCTCCCTGCAGGAGGGCGTTCTGTTGCTGTAAGCAAACCACCCCGAATTCAGTGATGTAAAACAACTAGCAGTTTATTGTGTTTGTGGATTCTGTGAACCAGGAATTAAGATGGGGCATGGGGGCTCATCCCTGCTGCACAATGACTGAGGTCTCAGCCAGGTAGACTGTCGTAGTTGGAGATGACTCAAATGGTTGGGGGTTGGAATTATCTGGAGGCTTTATCGCTTGCATGACTAGCACTTGGGTGGGAAGATGCAAAGATGGGGCTCAGCTGGACTTTCAACTTGAGAACCTAATCACGGTCTCTTCATGTGGTGTGGACTCCTCCCAGCATGGTGGCCAGGTTCTGGGGAGCGTCCTGCAATACAGCAAGTATCCCAAGAAGGCATACAGACTTTTCTGACTCAGTCTTGGGAGCCACACAGCATCACTCCCACCACATTCTGTTGGTGAAAGCTGTCATAAACCATCCCAGATTCAGAGGGACAGGGCACAGAGTCTACCTCTCAATGTGAGGTTTGTCAGAAAGCTTATGGCCATTTTTATTTATTTTCTTTTTATTGTTTTAAATGTTTTATTTATTTTTAAGAGAGCACAAGCAGGGGAGGGGCAGAGAGAGAGGGGGCAGAGGAACTGAAGGAGGCTCCTTGCTGACACCAGTGAGCCCAATATGGGGCTTTGAACTCACAAACCATGAGATCATGACCTGAGGTGAAGTTGGACATTCAAACAACTGAGCCACCCAGGCGCCCCTGGGGCCATTTTTAAAAACCACCACAGTTTGCTCTTTGACCAAAAAGTATTTACATTCATTCTTCCCACATGCAAAATACACTCACCCCTTGCAAGCTCTGCCCCCAAGTCTTATCCTACTATGGCACTGGGCTCAGGTTCAAGGTCCAGAATCTAAATCCAGTATCTAAATCAGGTACAAGTGCAGGTAAGGCTCCTTGGATGTAGTTCTTCATTTGACTTTGGGTGTGACTTCTCTTGATCTGAAGATGTGTAAATGAAAGAGATGTGTTAGCTGTACCCCCCCCCCCCCAGCTTTTGATGGAGGGACAGGCATGGGATAAATGCAGTCAACACTACCATTCTGATAAAGTAAAGGGTGGGTCACGACACTCACCATAGCAACCACACAATAGTGACTCTAACATCCAGCTGAACACATGTTGTCATTTCTTTTTTTTAACATTTATTTTTATTTAGAGAGAGGGAGAGTGCATGCATGTGTGAGCAGGGGAGGGACAGAGAGAGAGGGAGAGAGAATCCCAAACAGGCTCTGCACTGTCAGCGAAGAGTTCAACTTGGGGCTCCATCCCACAAGCCACAAGAGCATGACCTGAGCCGAAATCAAGAGTCTGCTGCTTAACAGACTGAGCCACTCAGGTGCCCCTGTTGTTTCTTGATCGAGGTCCAATCCTCCTTCCTGGTGCTGATTCCCTATAGCCCTCATTCTGCCCAAAGAATGAGCATTCTAAGAAACTCATCTGAAAGTCCTCTCATGAACTAATAATCTCTGAAGTCCAAAAGCATCACTTCCACTGCGTTCTATTGGTCAAGTGAGTGAAAAGACAGCAAGAAAAGCAGTGATAGCAGGAGGAGTGAAAATAACACCTTTAGACATCTTTAATCTATCACACAAAGAAATAGAAATCTTAACAAAAACATGAATGAGACCTATAGGAAGAAAACAACACAAACTTAAAAGAGGACCTAAATAAATAGTAGTAGATGAGAAGAATTATGTAGAAAAGGCCATCACTCTTCCTAATTTAATACATAAATATAAAGCAATTCCAATAAAATTCATAGGGATGTTTTTGTCATGATGGGTAATTTGTTTTTTTTTTTTAATTAAAAAAAATTTTTTTTAATGTTTATTTATTTTTGAGACAGAGAGAGACAGAGCATGAACAGGGGAGGGTCAGAGAGAGGGAGACACAGAATCTGAAACAGGCTCCAGGCTCTGAGCCATCAGCACAGAGCCCGACGCGGGGCTCAAACACACGGACTGCGAGATCATGACCTGAGCCGAAGTCGGCCGCTCAACCGACTGAGCCACCCAGGCGCCCCATGATGGGTAATTTGACTCTAAAGTTTTTCAGAAAACCAAATGAAGAGTATGATATTTTAATTCATAAAATATAGTGGTAATAAGGCATACATTGGATGGGTGGATGGATGGATGAATAAACAGGAAGAATTTCTCCACAGAGCATAAATGAAAATTGTTAAATTTGCGGGGGAAGACTCATTATCTGACATCATAAGCCCATATGGATTAAAAAGTTAAATGGACAAATGGAAACAATAAAAATATAAGCAAATATTTATATTATCTTTAGATTAAAGAGGAATTTATTGAATAAAAGACTCTCTTGAACTTAAAATGTATACTGATCTAAAATAACCATACAGAAAGTTGAAAGTCAAATGATAAACTTGGGGATATTGCAGCATAGGAGAAAAGATTCTGAACCTATGAAGAACACATAACTCAGCAAGAAAAGGGCAAAGAACAAATACCCACTAAACTCCTGTGATATGCATGGCAGACGCTAGTTTGTCAAGTGTTCATCTTCACGTACTTACCTTCTTGTCTGCGAGACAGACAACAAATAAACAAAAACAAATATTACGATGTAATGTCTGATAATAAAGGAAAGTAAAGCAAGGTCAGGGGCACTTAAGAGAGGAACTAGATAAATAGTTGATGGATGGAGGAGAGTTTAGTCAGGGTAGGCAGAGCAGAGGTAGCATTTGAGCAGAGCCCTGAATAAAATGAAGGACTGTGATGCAGCTACTCAGAGGCTGAGGGTGGTATGTTCCAGGAGAAGAAACAAGGCCAGTCTGGCTAAACTAGAGCTAGCAAGGCAGACACAAGACCTAAGAGATAGGCAGAGTTTAATATATAATCTTTTAATTTGTCCTATAAGCCATTTCTGCCATTTCCTACTCTTCATCAATGTAATTTCTAATGGCAGCCTTGGGACATTCTAGTAAGTGGATGTCCTAAGGTTGTTTTTTAAGTATCTATCTATCTATCTATCTATCTATCTATCTATCTATTTATTGAGAGAGCATGAGAGGTGGAGGGGCAGAGACAGAGGGAGAGAGAGAATCCCAAGCAGGCTTCACACTGCCAGCACACAGCCCAACATGAGACTCAAACTCATGAAACTGTGAGATTGTGACCTGAGCCAAAACCAAAAGCCAGACGCTTAACTAACTGAGCCACCCAGGTGTCCCAGATATCCTAAGGTTTAATAACTACATGAACCACTCTCTTATAGTTAGATGTGACATTAGATCCAATTCGAAACTACCATAAATAATGTACTGATGAATAGCTTTGTGCATAAATCATTTTTGCATTTAAGAGAAATACTTTTTGGATAGGGAATATAGGTTTATTTGACCCTTTTACAACACCCTCACTAAGGCCTCATAATCATGTTATCAAACATGATCCACTCAAGTTTTCTGTTTTGTGAGTTCTGTTCACCTTGTGGTTTTCCCATTTATCTACTCGTGATTTTTCTTATCATATTTTATTTTATTTGTTTTAACTTTTATTTTAATTCCAATAAGTTAACATGCAGTGTTATGTTAGTTTCAGGTGTACGATATAGTGATTCAACACTTCCATACATCCTCTGCTGCTCATTATTGACTGCACTGCTTAATCCCCATCACCTGTTTAACCCATCCCTCCACCCCCCACCTCCCCTCAGATAACCATCAGTTTGGTTCTCTATAATTAAGAGTCTGTTTCTTGGTTTGTCTCTCTTTTTTCCCTTTGCTCATTTGTTTTGTTTCTTAAATTCCGCATACAAGTGAAATCATATGGTATTTGTTTTCTTTTGACTGAATTCTTTCATTGAGCATTATACTCTCCAACTTCATCCATGTCATTGCAAATGGCAAGGTTTTATTCTTTTTATGGATGAATAATATTTCATTATATATACACCATATCTTCTTTATCCATTCATCAATCAGTGGACACTTAGGCTGTAACTGTATCTTGGCTATTGTAAATAATGCTGCTATAAACATAGGGGTGCATGTATTCCTTCGAATTATTGTTTTTGTATTCTTGGGGTAAATACCCAGTAGCATGATGGCTGGATTGGAGGGTAGTTCTTTTTTTTAACTTTTTGCGGAAACTCCATACTATTTTCCACAGCGACTGCACCAGTTTGCATTCCCCCAACAGTGCTAGAGGGTGACTTTTTTCTCCACATCCTTGCCAACACCTCTCACTTCTTGAGTTTTTTATTTTAGCCATTCCATCAGGTGTGAGGTGATATCTCATTGTAGTTTTGATTTGAATCTCCCTGATAATTAGTGATAATGAGCACCTTTTCATGGATCTATGGGCCATCTGTGTATCTTTTGAGAAATGTCTGTTCATGTCTTCTCCCCATTTTGAAATTGGATTATTTGTTTTTTGGGTGTTGGGAGTTTTATAAGTTGTTTTTTAAATAAGTTCTTTATATATTCTGGATACTAACCTTTTATCAGACATGTCATATGTCTCCCATTTCATAGGGTGCCTTTTAGTTTTGTTTCTTGTTTCCTTTGCTGTGCAGAAGCCTTTTATTTTGATGTAGTCCCAATAGTTTATTTTTGCTTTTGTTTCCCTTGCCTCAGGGGACCTATCTGGAAAAAGTTGCTATGACTGATGTCAGAGAGGTTACTGCCTATGCTCTCTTCTAGGGTTTTTATGTTTTCAGGTCTCACATTTAGGTCTTCAATCCATTTTGAATTTATGGCGTAAGAAAGTATGGTGTAAGAAAGTGGTCCAGTTTCATTTTTTTTCCATGTTGCTGTCCAATTTTCCTAGGACAATTTGTTGAAGAGACTGTTTTTTTTCCACTGGATATACTTTCCTGCTTTGTTGAAAATTGACCATATAATTGTGAGTTCATTTCTGGGTTTTCTATTCTGTTCCATTGACCTATGTGTCTATTTTGGTGCCAGTACCATACTGTTTTGATTACTACAGCTTTGTAGTGTATCTTGAAGTCCAGAATTGTGATGCCTCAAGCTTTGCTTTTTCAGGATTGCTTTGGCTATTTGGTGTCATTTGTAGTTCCACATAAATTTTAGGTATGTTTGTTCTAGTTCTGTGAAAAATGCTGTTGGTCTTTTGATAGGGATTGCATTAAATCTGTAGATTGTTTTGGGTAGTGTGTGTGTGTGTGTGTGTGTGTGTGTGTGTGTGTGTTTGTTCTTCCAATCAATGAGCATGGAATGTCTTTCCATTTCTTTGTGTCATCTTCAATTTCATTCATCAGTGTTTATAGTTTTCAGAGTACTGGTATTTCACCTCTTTGGTTAGGTTTATTCCTAGGTGTTCTATTATTTTTGGTGCAATTATAAATGGAATTGTTTTTTTAATTTCTCTTTCTGCTGCTTCACTATGGGTGTATAGATATACAACAGATTTCTGGGGTGCCTGGGTGGCTCAGTCAGTTAAGCATCTGACTCTTGATATTGGCTCAGGTCGTAATCTTGAAGTTGTGAGATTGGGCCCTCTGCACTGACAGTGTGGAGCTTGCTTGGGATTCTTTCTCTCCCTCTCTGTCTGTCTCTCCCTCACTTACACACACACTCTCTCTCTCAAAATAAATAAATAAACAAACATTAAAAAAATAATGAAATACAGGGGTGCCTGGGTGGCTCAGCCAGTTAAGCCTCTGACTCTTGATTTCAGCTCAGGTCATGATGTCACAGCTTGTGGGATTGAGCCCCACATGGGACTCTGTGCTGACATAGCACAGAGCTTGCTTGGGATTCTCTATCTTCCTCTCTCTCTGCCCCTTTCTGCACACTCTCTCTCTCAAAATAAATGAATAAACATTAAAAAATATATAACAGATTTCTGTGTCTTGATTTTGTATCCTGCAACTTTACTGTATTTGTGCATCAGTTCTAGCAGTGTTTTGGTGGAGTCTTTCGGGTTTTCAATATAGAGTATCAT